TGTGACTTCTCAATCTGGAGAAGCAAAGGCTGTATTCCAAGGCTCTTCCGGATGTCACTATTCCGGACATATAAAAAAAAACTAATCTGTTTTATTTCCCAGATCTTTGAAGCGTTTTGGAGCTGCAAGCGCGAATCAATCGATAAACTGCCAATTAAAACATCCAGAGTGTTCAATTCATCGAATGATCCTAAACAGCAAAGTTGCGGAATAATGGCCCATGTTTCTCGACCAGGCTTTGGATGAGCTGCGTGTTATTAAAGTTTGGCAGCGTCTCTGTTTTCTGAGTGTTTAACCAGTTATTTTGAAGATCAGTGAAACTGCGCCTGCTCAGAGGTTTGTGTCAAATTTATTAGCAAAGTAAAGATGCCTTACAACTTGCGTGCTGATAATCGTGCAGAATGTATGTTATCTGCCCCTTTTCATAATTTTTATTGAATCGGCAGACGCAGCTTAAGCACTGAAGACGTCATAGTTGAAGAAGTTTGATTGAATCTCTGACTGTTCTTAAATAAGTCGCTAGTTTTACTTTTTTCCGTTATAACCTTCAAACGTGCACTTGATCGTTTCGCTGCTGCGCGCGGCAATCAACTTGAGAAAAGACATCTGTACTTTTGAGAAAGGCCATTTAGTGTGCTACACTGGTAGGTGGAATGCAACTGGAACAGGTAGAAACATTTAGGTATATCGGAAGAATTCACGAATATTGACGGCAAGAAGACGGACAGGATCAACTATGCGATTAATGCGGTTCTTGGTTATGAAGCATATGAGTACTAGTGTTTGAGTCTTCAGTTATGAATGCGCACTTATTTTTGCCTCTTGTCACGTGCGCTGAATGTTGACTGAAGGAATGCGATATCGTATGCTAGCGGCATAAATGTGGCTTTTTCGAATGATTTCAGGTGTGACGACATTCACCAAGGTTCGATATGCAGTTTTTTGTTGCTGGTTTGTTTAAATCATAACATTTTGCCGTTTGCATGCGTAGAACATCTTTAGTTTGTGATGTTCGCTGTATCCGCAGCTTTTCAATGCTTTTGCTATAAGTTACCGGTTATTGCATCGTAGAAGGAAATAATTTTCATTGCATGCAGACCTGCCTTTATCTTATTACTGCATGTTGCATACTGGCCTCTCGGTCAACTTCTGCTTCAGCTCTAATACTCGACGTTCACTTGCTGGAGTAAATGGTCGATGCTCAAACAGTCTGTCTAACAGGGTTGATCTCTACAATGAAATCTCGATCGCTAATTTTTTCATTTCCATATCTGCCGAGGTCACCTGTGTCCGAAGGCGAATAGAGACATTCCTAACATAGTCCTGTTATTTAACCTTCACCAAAGCCAAAGCTTCTGTACGCAATTCAAACCGTTTATCAAATTCCTTCGTTAAAACAACTGCTCTAAGCCGTGCAGCAACACAGACCTAACAAAGGCAAGGTACAGGCGAATTTTTCAAGGCAACTGGAGTCTTCGATTTTGCTCAGTAGTCCTCGGCAAAGTGAAAATTTGGTTCTGATAGGAGAGTACAAATCCGAAAGACTGTTTGATTTGAGCGAAGTCTTCCATCAATTGCCAGAACCACGAATTTGTCAGTTTTGGAAATGTGGAGACGAGAGTTGCTGTTTGCAAACGACCTTGTTTTATTAGCATCTTCTGAAACTGATCTCCAGTGCTC